GCTACTGTAGTTGTATAGAGAAAAGACACACCCCTTAATCAGTACTCAGACAAGAGAGTTCGATTATACATCAACAAACCATACTAGACCAAATGCTATTGATGGCTATCCCTATTATATTATTTCAACTGGAATTTTCTTTTTATGTAGTATCCTGTTTCGATTAAATATGATCATTGTCCGTTTACACCTAAGCTTTTGTGTTATTAACAACACATACGTCAACTTGAAACATAATACGATTAAGAGTGGTCTCACATTTATATAATTAAGTGATTTTATTATTTAAACTTTGAACTTTTGTTGATCTTTGTTTTTGTTAATATATTGATAGACAACAGTTAAAAATCAACATTTACTAAGTTTGTCTTTAAAAGTCTCAAAAATTATAAGTGACTAAATTATTAAAAGTAGTAACTAACATTTTTTCTTTTGTAATTCGAGACAAGTTAATTTGATAAAACTTTTTTTTTGTTTACCTCAAAATGTATGTTTAGAATAAAATGGAACAACTTTCTCTGGTCATTAAGATAAGAGTTGATTACGATATATATATATATATATATAAAGAAGAAAATTTCAAATTAGTTAACACTTATATAGCATTATTAAAAACTTTTCATTTCAGCTTTTATATAACTTTTACTAAACGTTCCTTGTTTTCCAATACTATTTCCAATATTGTTCATAACGAGTTCAAAAATCAAGTAATAAAACTCCAGTGATTTAAATGATAAGTTGTTTAATGACACTTTTTTGAATTCCTATAAAATTTAATTAATTTTCGGCTTTTTAGTATGTGGACAAAAAATGTTAGTAATTTATTTTACTAATAGTCATTGCCCATAACTAATGAATCGATGTTCCCAATGGACAGAACTTTCTTGTGTATTTTATAATAGTATACTTCATTTGATACATTATGTCCTAAAATTGCATACACTGCCATATTATGAATATATGTACTTTTTTCATACACTATTGTTATAGCATTGCTGTAGTGGGGTATTAAAATGTTTGCAATTGCTTTAGATCTAAGAAATATTATAACACAAATTTTGAATACATAAAATCATTTGTTTACTGTAGCGTAGAAGGAAACATGTTTGTGAGAAAATCGCTTACACCACAACGCCCTCGTAAAATCTATCATCTGGGATTGGGCACCATTCATATTTCCCCTGAGACTTCTGATTCTAAATCTGACTATGCGTGAACCACAGCAGTTTTCTTTTTTTTTTTTTTGATTATATTCTTTAGAAGTCTTGTTTAAATCCTTGCATTATTTGCGACCCTTACAATAACGGATAAAAATCAGCTTATATACTGTCCACAGAGTTTCCAATTATCGACTAAAGAATATCATACGACTTATTTAATTTTACTTATGTCTAAAAACACATGATTTAATCCAGTACATTTAGGGAAAAATTTTTATTTAACCACCAAAATAAAAAAACTAAACCGCGTTGTCTCTTATAAGAGGAGTATTATTATTTTTAAATTAATTCGACATTTCTTAGTAAAATCCAGAAAATTTTACTCTAAAAATATACAAAAATATTTAATGACACTACTAAAACTACAACAAAAATTACTCTACGTATATTTTTAAATAGATAAACCAGAGGTTGATGTAAAACGTTGTAAGAATTTCTTTGTTATTAATACTTGTAGTAAAATATTATTTGTCCAACCGTAATTACATAATGTAAAACAAAATTAGCATTAATGCCAATATAATAACAAGCATTGGAGCCATCAAATATTGATAACAGAGTCACTATCTTAAAGTTTATACAATATACTTTATAATTATTATAAAATGCTCAGTACAAAAATCAAATATTTATCAAATAGTCAACAAGTTTTAGAGACTAATTTATATCGCCACCGAGGCTAGACATAGTGCCCTATGGATATGAGCGAAGAATTTGCGGATTTTGCTTTATTTGATGAAAGGATTTCACTGGAAATTAAATGAAAAATAATAGATTGACTGATTAAAGTTAAATATAGCAAACCAAAAAATTATACATTAAATGTAAAAGAAGTTTCTTTAATTATAAACTTTTATCTACTAATAGATTTTTTATCGGTTAACTTTATGAACATATTTTCACGATTTTCAATTTCAACGGAATGAAAGTTATAATAAAAGCCGCGTTAAAACATCTACAAATGTATTGATACTGCCAAATGCTCTGTAAAGTTGATGAAAGACTATAATGCTAAAATTACCAGAAATGAAGAACAAAAACAATATCTTTTACAAATAATATAAAAATACATTTTTGTATATAAATAAAGTTTATTACTATTATTATTTTTTAACATGAGTTGTCAAAAATTATCGACAAAAGTTTCCAAATAACAACTGAAAAAGTTATATAAATTCTACTGAATAGTAAATACATTTTTTATTACTTTTAGTGTTTTTTTTTCATTTTTTAAATAAATAATGTGAAATGATATTATTTTAATATCTTTTTAAAGATAAACATTTAATTTAAAATTTTTTTTTAAAGAATTCATTATGGGTCTATTGGTAAGGTAAGGAAGTAGAGGTAATACCCCTCCAGATCCCGTAGTCTTCAATTAAAAATACTATTAATTTTACATAACATTGAAGTAACATAAAATATAATATTCATTGAAATAAATGAGTAAAACTAAAAAACAACCCTATTTGGTTAAACTTCAACCCTAAAGTGGCATGATATGGGGTTGTTTAAATAAATAATTAATTTGAAATTAATATAAATATTATATATATATTAATTTGTAGTGCCAATTTAGATAAACTTGACGTTTTCTTATGCATGTAATTTTTTTATTTTTGTTTAATAACTAGCGCCCTCTAGTTATTTATTATTTCACTACTATTTAAAACTTGTTTACAATTATCCCTTAGATGCCGTTAATCTTATTATTTTGTACTACTCGTCATAAAATATTAAATGGAAAAGTATTTATTTAATTTTTTTTTAATAATAATTTTTTGTCTTTACATTTATTAGAGGTTTTATTATGATACAGTTCTAGACATTGTTCAGCTAGTCTCAAAGAAATTATTCTAAGTTATAATCGACATTTTTAATACTCCAAAACATTCAAAATATTTTAATTTTTTCATTGAGTTAAGCTATTAATCTTCAACATTATGGCTAACATTGATTTATTTTTGCAATTAGCAAAAATAAATAATAGGCGTAAATGAAAAATAACAATGTGTTACTTCCCTTATATTTTCTTATCAAACTCAGTTATTTAACAACTGATGCTTCTTATGACGATTTTATTTTCAATTATAAGGAGTTGAATAAGGAAAAAAGTTCTTAAATTTACAAAAAATTGAATTTCTTTATAATTCTTTACATTTTATATAAAATTTCTGTTTGTGTCTAAAAAAAAAAAAAAAAAAAGTGTATGACTAAGTAAAATTTAATAAAAATACTGTAATGCTTAATCAAATCAATAATGGATATTTCATATAAATGTGTGGAAGCTAACATTATTACTATACATCTATATGTATATAATAAGTTAAAAGATACACAGCTGTTACATATTGCAAAGATTTATTCCGTGTTTTAAATTTATATATATAACGGAACAATGTTTTAAAGATTATTGTAACCTAACCCAAATACAGGATAAATATAAGTTACTAATTTTAATATAATATCACTTTTTTTGATATTATACTATATAAAAACTTAAAGAGTCACATTGGATGTGTTTAGGAGCTATCTTAGAGGGTTAATCCTTTTCAAACATAGTTCAGAATAAATATATAATATCCCAATGCGCAATGAATAAGAAAGTAACTCAAAAATTTGACTTAGAGATAATAATTTTTTAGTTATGATGAGAAGTTGAAAATTTAATAGTAAAGTTAATATCTGCATGGGGAATTTCTTCACATAATCATGATTATGATATATGTTTAAAAAAAAAATTGGATAACACCATTATTATCATCTGTTAAACAATTAACAATATTATATGTATAAACTTTCATATTAATGATTTTTATTCAATTTTTCAACTTAACTTTTGAAAATGTCCCGAAAATACGATGTAATTTAAAAATACTTTTAATTATAGCTTATGATACATACTATAAGTACTTAACTTAAAATAGACAGTGAACAACCTAAATATCGTCCTGACGATTTTTCACTTTAGTGAGACTCAGTGCAGTCCATATAAAATTCAGTATGTGTTTGCTTTTTTGAACCGGTTCAAGACCATAATTGAACCAGGTGCTGCACTGTCGTATATTCTTATAATGATCTCAGAGGCGATTTAAAAGGGTAATGTGGAAAGTGTCATGTCATCCAAACGCTTATTGAAGCCATTCGTGGTCGGTATTTATAAAATATATTGGGTACTCATTTTATTCATAAAGGTTTAATTTAGTTGACAAATTCATCACCAACGATTGTCAAAATTTATTCCATTTCCTTCTAAAAATTATCTCTAGAGTGAATGTAGCCTGAACCAAATTGTTACTTAGGAAATTGTTTTTATGTATGTGTGTATTTATATAAATACACACACATCTTAATGAAATAGTTAAAAATAATTGTATTATGTTACACTAGCAGGAAAAAACAGTATTTTCTATGGCCTTGTTAACGTGATGACATTAAGACGCTACACTAGGTTATTATTGACCTTTAATTGCAACTAACGAATTAGTTCAAAGTATGATCAATTCCGTTTTCATTGAAAGTTAGAATAAGGCAAATTCTAATGAAACCCTCCCAAAAAATTTAACGCCACGTTTTCAATGTTTATGATTAAAACTTTAAACTAAAAGTAAAAATGTTACTTGCAGAGGAACTGTAAAAATAAGACTTTTAACGACCGACCTATATAAAATTAGAAATCGTAAATTTACAAATGAAGAAGTCACGAATTCGAAGTAATACATTAACTATATATTACTATACAATTCACATAATGCAAAAATAAAATCAAGTTCGAAATGCTTATGAAGCATGTCGATGTCATTTCTTTCTAAAGTGTACGCGTTTTACAAAATATAATTGTAATAAATTGACTAGTGTTCGTTATTGTTATTTTGTAAAGCTTTTTAGTAACTAGACGGTGCCAGGTAGGGCATATCGTTTCTGGTAGTTCAAATGAAATGTAATAAACTGTTTGAATAAATAGTACATACTCCATAATTGTGTTATTTTCATTTTTTGCTGTTTTGTCTTGATTAAGTACTTCATGAAAAGGTAAATTAAAAATTGTATTCATTATTTATTTAATAATTACCAATAAAAATATCATGACGATTAATAAAAAATCTAAAATAATTTGTTTAGTAATAAAACTATTAGATGTTGGTTATTATTGAAAATTCTTAATTATTTGTAATAAAATTGAAGTAATTCTAATAAAACTCGAATATAACATTTTGCAGTAGTTATAGTGAATTTTTTATTTTTAGAACTATGATGTATTCATTTAAACAAATTTTTCAATAAAATACTATGATAATATTTAAAACATTCTACTTAAATTAAAGATTTTTACATGTTTACACATTAGAATGTATTGACTTAAAACTAATTTATAAAATTCAAAAAATAGTCATAGTAAAATTAAAAAAAAAAAAAAATCTTATATATTCTTCAACAGGCTGTAGTCTATTTTCACAAAACTTGACTAAAAATAAATTCAGCAATTGTATTTGGTTTAATATAAAACCAAATTTAATATAATTTGTTCTATTTCAGGTAGTAAAAAATGTAAAAAGTAAAATTGTCGTTGTCAATGAAATACTACTACGTATCTTCAAAATATATTGTTATTTTCTAAATTAGGAAATGAAAATATATTTTATAGTATTGCTTTGGAAATGTCAATATCACAATTTTATTTTTTGAGGATGTGTTTTACACATGCCAAAAAAGTCATTAATTACGATACAATTTTGATACTATGATGTCGTTAATTGTTCACTGACTATTTACTAAATAATTTAAATAATAATCTGTTTAAATTATATCTGTAATTTTCATATATTTGCATATTTGTTTGTCAATTCTGATAAAAACATTTGTTTTATTAAACATTTTTATTGTAATAGATTTTCACCTATCAATAGTAGGTAATTATTCAAAGAAACCTACCTGTAAATTGTACATATATGATATCATTTATCAATTAGTAATGCACATTGCTGAAATAATGTGTTTACTTGGTTACACTCCTATTCTATCCAGCCCTAAACATATTTATCAAAATGTTACTATGTTTATTTGTAAAAAAAGAAATCAAATTTACTACATTTCCATTATACATACAACTAAATGTGAACTCATTTTATACTATTTGATAAACTAATCTCAAAAGCCAATAGTATTAGAAAACAATTCAACCGTAAAATCAATTTTGAAGGACTATTCTATAACAGTGTAACCTACTTTTCGTAAAAACTAAAAAAATATTAAATCAAATTAATTGTTTATAATTATTATCATTGAAGCAATTTAAGTCATTCAATTTCATTGACCACACCAGTTACAGGAGTGGTTTCTCAATCATTGTATAAATACCTATGCGTATTAATATTACTTTACAATTGAGGTTACTCAGCTTTAAGTAAAAGATTAAAAAACATTCTTTTGAACCTACAAATAATATACAATTTCATAAAATTTATACAGATTCATCACAATGACAGATAAAAAATGTGATAACCAAAATGCTGATTCAAAAAAATGTACGAGTAACCGTATGTGTGATCAAGAAAAAAATGTAAACTTTGAATATTTTATTAGAACATATTGTAATTTTTTTAAATTATATTAAATCAAACAATTTTTAGATCATTACATCTGTGATTGATGATTACAATCCTTGGGGTAAACCAGGACACGGGGCTCCGAATACTGATGGTCTTCGAAAAAGAAAAATTTTTACAGATCCACCATCGCCTCCCTTGCAGGTAATTTGTATTTGATACTGATTTAATTCTAATGAAGTATGAGTTATGTTGATAGAGCACAGCAAAGGACCCCCAAAATATCACCAATATTACTAATTCGAAATAAATATAAATAATATTGAGTAAACGAGCTTTTATTAAGGTATATTTGCATTGTTTAGAGAGTCAGTAATGAAGTTACGACCATGGGAAGACCTGGCGGTGGCGCTCCGCTTAAAAGTTCATCCGGAAAAACAAAAAATTTTGTGGTTGAAGATCCTCAATTGAGATTTCAGTTTCATGCTCCAGATAGAAATATAGTAGATAATGATTTTAGATACCGAAAGTCACTTAAAGACCAAAGGGCATATAAAATCGAATTAGGTGAAAAATTGTTTTCTATTATTAATTAAAAATTAGTGTAAAAAAATTAGTTTGCGTAATTTTTATAAGCGTTGTAAAATAATTAGCATAAAAACATTTATAAATATATACCTATACAAAAAGAAAATCAATACAGCAATAATAACTTCCCAGATCTAATATAGTGAATTCCACATAAGTTGGTATTATCATACATAGTATACTGATATCTAAAAGTGATTAATATCACTACTCTTCAATTCAAACGTGTATAAAAAAAACATGAAAAACAAAATTATAACCAACATTTTTGAACTTAGCAGCCAAATATACTTTTAAAAAATATTTTTTTTAAATAATATATTAAGCTTCAAAAGCTTTAATTTAGAATTAAAAAGTTATCAAACGTCACGGAACATTTTCTGAAATTTAAAAGAAAAATTTTTGATCACGTGGGTGACGTCATACCTTTTCCATAATAAAGTTATAAATGGAATATACATAAATAGCCTACGAAAAGAAAGCTTATTGTCTCTTGTGTGATCTACTAAAATTAAGATCAGTGTATCAAATAAAGTAACATAAAAGTTTTAAATAGCAGAAAAAAATATTGAATGTTATAGATGAAATGGTTCGAAAAAAACAAGAAATTATAAATGAAAATCGAAAAAGAGAAATTATTAAAGATAAACAATTGGTAAGCGTATTATTAATCTGTCTTTTTAAAATTATTATCAAATTGTCATATTGTATAAGTTAGTTTTCAAATTATAATTAGAGTTCAACTGTAATTCCTTGGGGCACACCTTGCCCAGGGGGTATTGTTTGGCGAGATCCAAAGAGCGTAGGCAAACACTTCTATCGATCTTTGGTAACAATATATGTATTTAAATATTTAATATGATTATAATCGTCCGCATAAAATTATACTTCTAATAAATAAAAATAAAATTAGAATAAGCAAAAGTTTAAAGCTTTTTATTAGATTTTTATATTTTTAAAGTTCATTATATAACTTTTCTATGGTAGTAGCCTATGATTATTAAGTTTTTCTCAGCTTTTCCAGAAAATATTAAAGCATTTAGATATTAATTTTATAATTTTACATCTTTTTCGCTTCATTAAGTTAATATTTTTGCTTTAAGATTGTCTTTAAAAAAAATTAATTACTTATGTTATAATATATGTATATTTTCTAGGGTTATGAAGATGGTAGTATGATGATAGTTGGATTAGGTTCCACTGATAGCACAACAAAAGAGTCTGATGATATTGTAATAAAACATTAATTTTAAATATTTTTTTAATTAAATTATGAACTTTAACTTTAAGTGCTTAAAAACGTTATCAACGAAAGAATAAGTAAATTTAATCTAAAAAAAAAAATATGGAAAACACAAAATAATATATATAATAAGATAAATAAACCCTTTATTAAATTATTAGGATAATAGTTATTATCAATTGTTGGGGTAAAGTAGAACAGTTGATAGATTATTTTAAGTCTGTATATATTTCATTTTCTGGATAGGTTTGATAGCAACTAATTTAAATTTTCAGCTATGTTTTTCTGAATTTTGAACTATTTATTAAGTTTGTTTATTAATTCTTCTTTTGGCTTCTTCTTTTATAGTTTCCAACTGTTGTAATATTAATCAATAAATTTCAAAACAATTCTGAAATAGAAAATTTTAGAAGAACTACTCTATCAAATTTGTCAAATATTTCTCGATTTTAATTGCTAAATTAAAATTATTGGATTACTTAATAAATTTCGTGTAATTAATTGTTTACCACAATAATTTTATTATAATTTATTGATTCTACACTTATCATTTATTTAAGAGCTTTTTGTAGGCTAAGTATTGACAAAACAATTTTCCCATTATACTTTTTGTATACAATAGATAAAACGGAACAACTTGTTTTTAACTGACTTCTGACAAAATGAGTACATTCATTTTGTTTTGCGTTTATTAAAAGTAATTAAAACCATTATTAAATTTATTTGCACATCAGTTTTACTTATGTCAGATCATAATAATAATGATTTATTTTTTTAATTTTATTTTCATGGATTTATCTAACTGAAAATGCTATTTTCCAAATACTTGATACCATATACCGTTTAGATATAGTAAAAACTTACTTGTAGTTGAATCAATTAAGTGATAATTATCACTTAATTGATTATAATCAATAAATGTATAATAATAACATCTTATAAATCAATTTGATAGACATTTTTTCTAGAATAGAAAAAATTTTGATTATATTGAATTATATTGAAAATAATATTGATTATATTATAATTTCACTATATTATTTACTTTTTATAAGGATATAATAACAGGTGGAGTTGAATTAGCACCTATATTAGCTCGAAGAAGAAGACAAGAAATAAAATGGCCTTTACATTCAAGTGACGTGACTAAAATTTATGATCCTAAATCTAAGTAAGATATATATCTTACTTTTAGATAATACTAAAGTTTATTTTAATAATAAATTATCAACGAATTTTGACGTTTAAATATTAACAAAATTTAAAATTGAATTTTTTGAATTTTATTAAATTTATTATTTTTGGCTAATTAATTTAAAAGAAACGTTATCATTTTTTTCGAGTTTATATTGCATAATTAAATTATTAACTTACACGTTTTATTTAAAATCATAAACATTAATAAAATTCAATCATAAATTTATATAACCACGATTATTAGCGATTATAATAATTTTTATTTTAGCTTTTTAATAGATGAGAAAGAATATCACGAGTTTCTCGACAGGCAAATTAGTGGTCGAGAAAAACGAAAACAAGTAAGTACATTTATAAATTATAAAAATCAAATTTACTTCAATGATATACCATAATTAATATAAAGATTTGAAATTGTTAGCATAAATACTATCATGTTATTTTAATATTTTTATAGTAAATTTTTAACTAGAATTTAAAAAACTATTTTCAAACACAATTTTAAACTTTTTTTAAGGAATAGTGTTTAAATCAGTTGAATATTTCTATATGTTCAAATTAATATAAATACTTCTATAAATTAAACTTTTAAATCTGAATTACATATTTATAGAAATATTATATTTAACATGGTTTTAGATTTAAATTAATATTTTTAATATTAAATAATATTATCCACGAATGATGGATAATATTAATTGTTTATTCATTAGCATTTACATATATAGGACCACATACTTAAGTATCTTTAGTATGAAACAAATCATTTTTATTACAATAGTAGTCAAACATTGGAACTAATGGCCAATGTTATTAGTAATATTAAAATATTTGTTGGCATGCTTAATAAAATTTTTATATCTTGAATCTATCAAAATATCTGTTGTAGAGCTTGTGTCAATATATGAAAATAAACCTAAAAGGATGCCTTAATGTACTTGATTTATAGAGCATCTCGTGACTGAGTGTTAAACTAGTGACAGTATGTGACAGGTACCGACGCCTTAACAACTCAGTACCATCCATTTAGTATCTCTAAAAGTTTATTATAAATAAAATGTTAAATCTATGTTGATCAAGTAGAATGTTCTATTTATACAATTTTGACAAATTAAATTTTATTATAAATTTTATAAAGTTTATCAAAATTATAAGTTTTTATAGCCCAATCAACTGAAACTGTAACATTAATTCGTTATACATTATACATTTTTAAAAATGAGTATTTAAATGTATTTTAATGGAAAAAGAGTTTTGTTCTTGAACATTTTGTTTTTAAACATAAAAACTTTTCTCAAGCACAACAGAGTTATACACGTAACGTACTTGGCATTATTGTCTATACAATAGATCTACGACTGTTAAAAGAAAAATTATGTATTAAAGATATTTTTTTTTTTGCTTAAGAAAAGAAAAAATATTTTATGCATAAACTCTATAGCAGGGATCGGTAAATAGTTTCTCACGCGGGTTGGGTAGTTTCAAAAAAAAATGTCGAGGTCCGACAGTGACGTATTTAAAGAAAGGATATGGACAACTTCCCAGCCACCAATATTTCTTAAGTATTTCTAATATATATCATTAAGCTAATCTGTATTTTATTATTCTTCATAACTTCTTAAATAATCTTTGAATGCAAACTCTACGAATTAAACTTTTTTTATTAGATGGAAGTAATCGTTTAATAAAGATTAGATAAAAAAATTAAAAAAACAAAATCACATGTAAATTTAAATCGAATAATTAATAATATTTAGTAATAATAATACGAATTAAAAATTATTATATAATTAATTATTAATTATTATTAAATATTTCAAACAACATGCATCACGGGACAACTTTTGTATTTCTTTAGTAATTTCATCCTTTATAACAGAAAATAATTAAGGGCTTAGACCAGAACCTCGGTGCGCTACTACTCTTACCCTATAATCTTCTGTTACTGCGCCCACACTTCTAACCCTGGTACAAGTGTCATTGTACATATCCTCTATTACATTTGGCTTTTTGATTTCAGATTGGACAGTATAAAACCTTTATTTTTTAATTCATAAAAACGAAGTATAACTTAAACTATTAATTTAGTTTATAATACTTTATTTCGTACATACATCTCTAACTACTTTATTTCTTCTCACTTTTTGTCCCCACTTACATCCAAGATCGGACAATCTACCTATGTTAAGCTTCAGTACTTCTCGTATTTTTTAACACAATTATACACCATATCCTCGTTAGTCACCTCTTACAACTGGTAGAGGGGCCGTGGAAGCATTTTTTTAAAAAAAAATTTAGTCATCTCATTGAGAAGTATTCTGAAACCATTATATTTTCACAAAATCAAAATTAAAAATTAAAAAATATAGTTTAACTTTTCGGTACATTTTTTAAGCATGACCATGAAGAAGAGCTTCAAAAAGGCCAAAAACACTACCAAAGGTGGCAAGAATTTTGGGGTAAACCGGGAGGTGGTGCACCCAAAGGATCTATCAAACAGAAAGAAAATCTTGACTACATTCTTTATCAATTACCTGTTATCAATAGAATGAAAGAAAAAGAAGAAAGAAATATTCAAAATAACAACAAAAATTTATCAGACAACTAACAAATCAATGTGCACTGATAGTCATATTTAAAGATGTTTTTAAATCTAGCTTCATAATTATCATTTTAATATTTTATTTTATACATTAATTAAAAGTATTATAAATCTATAACAATATTTTAGACAAAAATATCATTACAAAATGATAAAATAACATAATTAACAATAAAAGTTATTTATTATAATCTTAAAACAATAAAAAATTAAATTTAACACAGTGGGGTCTTGGCATGGTGGGGATGAGTCATAGTTGGGACAAATATAGATGATGTCTGACAGTGATTCTAAAAAAAGCTTCATTACAAATCTGTTTAATTTTTAGAAAAAATTGTTGGATTATTCCAAAAGCAATATTCAATATTATTTCCTTAATTATTTCCTGATTGTTAGTTTCACGATTTATAAGTTAAAAAACACGAATAATTACTATTATAATAATTAAATTTAGTAAAAAATTGACTATCAATAATTCAATAGAGTAATTTTTATGGAAAAATACTAATATAACATAAAATATTTTCGAAACATTTTTTAAAAATAGATTAAAAAAGTTTTATTATTTATACGGATGTTTTAAGTTTTGCACTCATCTTGTATAAGGTAAAATGGTTCATTTAAAAAAACATATTCCAGTTGATAGATATATGTTTGAAGTACTTATAAATAATACTATTGATCTATACATTTTTCAAAAGTTTATAGCTATTTAAAAAAAATCTAAATTCAAAAATTTTAACACTTAAAAAGGGTATTATTTTAGTCTGCACCATCCATTTGCTAATAAATGATTACATTTTACTTGTATTAAGTTTAATAACTTTTAGTGACATATTAAAAATTTTAAATGAGTTGGAATTACAATATTAAGAGTTATAAATATAGGAAAGTTATTTCGAACACACCATTCACAAGTTTTAATTTTAATTATTGACTTTAAAACTTAGTAGTATGTTGTTACTTAGGTTATAATTTCGGGTGTATTAGTGGAATTATCTCTCCCCTAAAACGAAAAATATTTCTACGCTACTGTGTTGATTGTCTCATCAGGTTTTGACATCATTTAAAACTTATTGATCTAGTCAATATTTTTTATTATTTTTCTTTTATAACAATTTCAGTACAAGTATTCATTCTTTTCCAAACATTTTAATATAAAAAGTGGTATATAGGGAGGGTAGATGCTATTTTTATTAACGTCCACATTCTGTAATCATTTTATGTATTAAAATACTTGGAACTACAACAAACAATTTTTTTTTGTAAAAAAACAAAAAAGCTAAAATTGGCAATTTTGTAAAAAAGCATTTTTTTTAAATTATTAATTTGATTATTAAAGAAAAAATAATAAAAAATATGGTTTTAACGTAGTCAAAAACTCTATAAAATATTTTTTTTTTAGTAATGCAAATATTAGCTTATAAAATATTATACTTATAATATTCAAAAGTTAATAAATATGTCAAAACATGGTGAGACAACCAGTATAATCCTATGACAAAATTGCAAGATCTTGATATCTTTCAAAATGGCTAAAACAGTATGTAATTCCTATCTTTTGTTATTATCTATCAATTCAATCTTACTATTGTATTATTGTATTATTACTATTAAAATCTTAGGAATATGTAAGAAAAAATGCATATCATGCTAACCATGTTTTTTTTTTAATTATTTTCAATATTTTATTAATATACATTAAGTAAAAACGATCTGCATACAACGTTCAAGAGATGGAATTATGTACCATTAAATCTTCCAATCGGCACCGACAAACATCATTGTTGCGACAATGATGGTAGGAATTTTATAAGAATATTTAATAAAATAATGAGAATCTAGTATATATGTCATACTACAGAGTAATTCATGATATTTTGAAAAGCCCAGTATTTCTTGATATACTGTACTTCTTTTTTTAGCTTCCATAAAACGCTTAGAAGGTATTAATTTTAATGTGTTTTCAATTTGTGTCTGTTACCACTTTTTCTCAGCTCTCACTGGACCGATTTTTATGACAATATGTCAATAGATCACAAATCGTATCTAGTTGAAGAGATTAACCTTAAAAATTGAAAAAAATTTTCTCCTTTCCTATAAATGGGGAAATATTCCAAAAAAATTACAATGTTTAAAATCGGTAATTGTTGAAATTTTTTTTTTTAAAACTGCCATAACTTTTTCAAAAATGAACATATCCTTATAATTTTATATGCATTAAGTAATTAACTATCAATTGATATATTTTTGTAAACATTTGACTAAATTAACTTTTCTAACTTAACTTTTGAAAATATTCCAGAAATACTGATAATTTTATATAATATATATATATATATCTTAAATTAAAGCTTATGTAATAAAATTAAATTTGACAAAAATAAATTTAACCTCTGAACTTTTTTCACTTTTTTTTTCTCAATGTTACCATAACTTTTTAAAAATTAACATATCAATATCATTTTATTTTATACTGAAACCTTAAATATTTTCCTTTCATTTGATATCATNCTAAAACCTTAAATTTTTTCATTTGATATCATTTTTTTGAAAATCTAACTCGTAACCAGCTCACAGAGGGGAATTAAAATAGCAACTTTTTTATGAAAATTAACTTTTAAAATTGTGTTCGGAAATACTGTGTCCTTTAAACATATATCAACTTTAAGCTTATATCATGTACTATAAAATGAAAAAAACACGACGAGTTATTTTCTATGTGCAAATAGCTGCCGTAGTTAAAAACATGCTATTTTTGTGTTAAGATTCTGTGTTTTGTATTTTATTTTATTTTAAAATATCTTACAAGGGGAATACACTGAGTTTCTAAAATATTATATAACTTAATTGATACAGAATAAATTTCATATGACATAAAAAGTAAAACTTATTTACATTTTTTTGGTTTTTTAAGTCAAAAAAGTAACTTTACCACCTATGGCAATTAGTATATTGCATATTTATAAATTTTAAAAATTTTCAAATGATCTGATTTTTATCTCATTTAGATTCAATAACTTCAATAAATATAAAGGATCCCATCACTGTAGTCTCCACTCATGAAAAGAAATTTCTAATTTATGTTAATATTATTTTACAATGTGTTTTTTTTTTTGGCTGCAATTTATTTTCCAATTCCTTAACCTACTTTTATCAATGATACGTAAAAATATTACAATTCGCATTTAGTTGAATATATTACCCTCAAAAATTGAAAACAAATCCCTTAGTTAAATAAAAAGAAGGTTAATAAGAAATTATTTATATTTAAATTATCTATTACAATAAAAATACAAAAAAAAACGAACTTTCCTGATAAATATACTATACTTAGTAATTATAAAATTTGCTGACTGCGTATTAATCTTAACAATACCATTTTTTTTCTATATAATGATGTCAATTTTAAACTTGCAAGTTGAGCTATAAGTTATGGTAATAAATTCATTTTTTTTTTATTATGATTTTTCACTTTAAAGGACAAAAAAGAGTATGTTAATAATGATTACTTTTAACATATTATATATCAAAATCAATGATAATTTGAAAACAATTAATTATAAATATTATAAAATATATAAAAAAAAAATTAAATATTATATTTTTGAATCTAAGAATTACTAATTTATAATAAATAAGGAAATAGTAGTAGATGTTATTTTGGTAATTATCCTCAAGTTTCTTATGGTTAAACAATATCTACAGATTTGCATCGAAGCTTTTCTTGTGATAGTGATTTTAATACGTCACCACTATGGCGCGACCCCATTGTGCTGAATTTTTTTTTTTAATTAATTAAAAAACTATTGCCAAAACATTGAAATACTAATTTCATATAAAGAAATTCATATTCCATTATTATCAAAAATATTTTTTTTTTTGTAATTATATCTTTAAACATACGTCTACTATTTATTATATTAAACAAATTAATCAAAAGAATTTTTATTTTATGACAATATATTGTTTATTGATTAACAATTACTTAAAAAATGATTCACAATATTTTTAAATCTTCATTTTTAACAATAAATTTAAGGACTTAGATATATTATAATGTATAGTAGGATTTTTTACTTAACACATTAAAATATGTGCAATATTAAATTTGAATAATAAATGAATAAATAGATTAATGAAATAGATTGTTCTAGTACCTTAAATGTAAGGATAGTAAAAATTTAATGAGTCAATATCTAATTGCATGCATTCCTCTGTATAATGACCATGCGTTAAGCAATAATAGCATCTATAGATAGAAAAAAATAACAAAATTTAATCTATTTTTTATACTGTTAAATCATTTAATAATTACCGTTGGCCATAAATATCTCCAACTATTTCAACATCTATGGCCCAATTCGGCTGTGAATCATTGACCACAAACTTTGCTTTTTGTGGAGATTTATAATATTTATAAGTACCAACAATATCTTTCTAAATAAAAAGACAATTTTAAAGGATTTTTGTATTTTTTTGAAATAAAAAATATATATTATCAACTTCATGTCTAAACCGAGAAACATAATTTTTGAGGAAAACAAAAATGCGCTATTTTTATATAGTTTAAAGTAAATTTTTTTATGTTTAATGCCTAATTACTACAAAAAAAATTTAAGATTATTTATTTTGGTATACGAATACTTAGTTTAATTAATTTATGTATTAAAAACTTGACTAGTTTTTTTAAAACGCAGGTTTTGTCATTTATATGACAATAAACTAATATGCCTACCTTATAGAATTTATAACATTTTCCATTTTTTGAAAT